TACCAAGTTTACGTGTGCACCTGGAATTCAAATCGGAGCTTGACTGAGACGTAAACTTTATAACAACCATCCAAGCAAAACCTGTCTTGAAAAACCAACTAAGTTGATAAATATTGCCAACCTTAGAGAAGGCATCTTCACATGAAATTTTTGGAAAAACTCGTAAAAAGTATGAGCTAAAGTTTTTTAATTTGAGATAAAACATTGCTTTATTAGAATTAAGAATGAATTTTCTATATCATAAAATGTATGTACATGTATGTTGTATATCCATACATTTAAATAACTGTGATAGATGGGTAGCGAAAGTAGCGAGAATATATACAACGCTTTAGCGAAACTCTCTCTTCTGATCGTTTGATCAACCGTTTGATCGAAATTTACAAGAGGACAAAAAGAAGTTTTGAGTAAAACTTTGTGTCTTTAAATTATATTTAAAAATGATATAATAGCATACAATTTACAATAACGATATTGAAATGAATCCAAGCAATTGAAGAATAGGAAAAGGATCATTAAAAGTTTAGAGCAGGGGTGGGCAAACTACGGCCCGCGAAGCTATTTTATGCGGTCGGCGAGGCCTTGTTTGCCAAAAAAGGGTCATTTTCAAGACATTATGACCAAAAGAAACCACAAATCTTAAGAAAATTTCCCCCGGATCTAAAAAATTTGCTATTTAAGTACATATATGGTTCTTCACAGGTAAAATAGTTTTCAATACGGCCCTCAAAACAAAATGTTTGCAATGTTTGCCCACCCCTGGTTTCGAGTAACTGAACTCTCCAAAATAACAAATCAAAAAAGTTTTGGTGGCATTGTTTTTTAAGATGAAAAAAAAGTGCGTCTATATTAAAATGAGAATTTATTTAAAAATTGTCTTTACTTTTCTGAAGTTTAAAATTTAAAAATGTTTCATAAATTTAGCAAAAAAAAAGATTTTCGCCCAAGCAGCATCACACTAAGTCATGAATAAACAAAGTAACGATCAACAGTATTGAATAACAGTTGAATAACAAGCAATGAAAACAATAAGGCCAACAGTTAAAAGCATCACACACAGACCCACACGCACGCACACATTTCTACCAATAGTTCAAACATCCATAAAAAGAGATTCAACACAATTTGAACAACATCACAACTGAGAAACGACAGAAAGAAAATCAACAACAATATCTGCAACAAACAACAATATCTGCAACAAACATCAACATCAACACCTGCAACAAACAACAACATCTGCAACAAACAACAACAACGAAATCATCCAAAACACAACAGACCAACAACAGCAACAACAATATCAACAGCATCCTCATCAACACAGCAACAACAAACTCCAACAACAACAACAACAAATAACACAGAGTGACCCTATTATGTTGCAGTATCACATTTATTGAGCGTCCATACAAGCCAACCATGGTATATGGACGTTCCCCTCCATTTATCATCTTCTCTACTCTATATTATTTTATCACTTGTTCTACCCTGTAGTTTGCACATTAAATCTCTATTAAATTTATCTGAAAATATTCGGCGATTATACAACCCTTGTCCTATTTTTATCATAGCTTTATTAGGGAATTAGAGTAATAAAAAAAGATAAATGTGTGTGTGTTTTTGTTTGTGTGTGTGTGTGTGGTGTGTGTGTGTGTATGGTGTGTGTGTGTGTGTGTGTGGTGTGTGTGTGTGGTGTGTGTGTGGTGTGTGTGTGCATTATGTATGTATGTATGCGATAAAGCAAAAAGTTTGATCGATTGGGCCGGGCCACGCATTTGCAATCTTTTAAAAAACAAACATGCAGGAATGTGCGCTACTGAGATTAATATTACACTTCATTTATTTCACAAAAATTTACAATGCTCCAATATATTACTTGCTCTAAAAATTTAACTGGTAAAATCACAGAAATCACATCACTAGCACGGCAAAACAACAACTACAAACAACTACAAACGACCACACAAAACCACACTCGACTGCACACGACCACACACAACCACACACGACCACACATAACCACACATACTACAGCACACAACTGAAACAATCGCAACGAAGCAAAACAGCGCGATATTGCTTGAAAGTTTTGAGTCATCCATCTTCCGATCTAATCGATGCCAAGCGTAATGAATGATTGATTGAATGATTAACTGATTGATTGATTGATAGTTTTGCCGGCTGATTGATTGATTTGTTGATTGAGTTGTTGCTGGGTTGAGATTTAAAAAGATGTGATTTCATTAAGATGTGTCATTCGGCTGATTTAATTAAATGAAAACTAATTGAATGAAAAATCGTTTGCATGTTATGCAGAATAACATGCTTTTTTTGCACGCACTGTTTTAAATAAGCTACCCAGCAAACAAAAAAACTTTTCTTTTTATAATTTTTATTTAAACTCAAAATCATGTGCCTCAACAAGAAATTTTGTCGTTCAATTTCACTTATCATGATAAATGTTTAAATAGCTTCTGGTAATTCCGACAATTTCACTGACGAAGATTGCTTCAGCATTTTTTGCTTAAATAATTATATTTTTTGCAACCGAATTACTAAAAAACTTGGCAAAAAATTTCCTTTTTTATTCAAAAAAATCAGAGGTTTTTCTTTCATTGTTTCCCCAAGAGTTTGAAAATAAATATTCATTTTGAACAACTTCAAACTGGATGATTCAAACTGTGAACTGTCACATCTTTGCGCAAACTGTTCCTCTTTTGAATACTTTAATCGCCGTCACCAGCCTAGGCATTCCATTCTCGAGTCAGTTTGGCCGGGACTCGCCTCTCCACAAAGATGCCTCTTCTCGCATTTCCGAGTTGGAAAACACGGGCCGGGCTGGAGAACTGTCGCACCCTGCCTGCCAGTCGGTTAATCCGGCCCTCTTAACCATCGGCAAGCCTCTTTTTCCAACATATTTATCATGTTTTGAGACAAAAGAGACAAATTGAAACGCGCTAAGAAAAAAGAAAGTAATAAAATACTAATGTCCTTCAAAATAATTACTAATTTCAATGTTTCATGTGATATATTAAACTACCACCACCACCACCAGATGCATTGTTACGGTTGAAATATTAGTTCCCCTATGATGTAGCACTGTTTGAAAATTGCCAAAGTATCGGTGTCGGTATCGTGGACCCGACAACAGTCTCGAAAATGAGTACCGGTATGTTATCGGCAGAGCATCATTAAGTCGGTATTCGTATTGTCGATTATTATTTTTGAATGTTGTTAGCAAATCTGCCTCATATCGCAGCACGCGCGAGATGCATCAAATCTGATCGTTCTTAAACGTTTTTTTCTCGTTCCTTGTCACCGGATTCGTCAATGCATTCCCAATCCATATCCATCCAGTCTACCTCGAAATTTTAAATCGCCGGAATAGATTAACTAATAATTCCCTACTCTAAAAATGCAGAGTTACAATGATGTAATGACATGAAGTTTTTGACATGATTCGCAACATGCTCCACATACTCCTTCAAAAACTTTTCGATCAAGGTACGCTGATTCAGTTATAACTTAGAATTGCTTAATTTGGTTTCACCATTTCAACTCCACCAAATAAACATCAGTTTTTAACTATATTCTTATTCAACATTTTTATTTTTTAAATACAATTTCAGCAAATTTAATTAATAAAAAATGGATTTATCAACCAAATCTAGAACAAAGAGTATAAACAAAATCAACAAAAATGTGTACAACTGTTGAATGAAATATTACAGAAAATAAACTGTTTAAACGAATGGTGTGTTGTCGTCTATACAGTTATCAAGTAGTAGTATATTTTCAAGTTATGTTCTCCATTTAATTCATCAACTCACTCATTCACTTTCTAATTCATCCAATCATATATTAATTCATCCATTCAACCCATTCATTCATTATGTGTGTACGTGCGCATACGATTGTGTATGAGTGATTCAATTCATCCTTCTAACGGTTCATATGCCTATTTAGAAATGGAATCATTGATTCCATCGCAATCACCACAAACACACAGACACACAGACGGACAAACCAACAAACCAACACATAAGAGACTGTAGTTTGATAGTACATAAGATTACAATAAATAGACTGTTTGTATTGTATAACATAAAATATCGCTTTGTTAATCATTTCGTTTCGTTAAACCGATACAACATAAAATAGATCAATTAAATAACTGATGTTTCCTTCTGCTCCATTCATCCATCCATCCATCCATCTGATATTCCTCCATCCCCTTCCTTCAAGCCATCTCAAGAACCTGAAAAAAATTTATTAACAATTCATTAAAATGGCATGGCTTGCATTGAACTGATGATGATGATGATGATGACGAATAGCTTGTTATAAATCGTTGATCAGAAAATATGATGACGTTTTAACAATGATGTTGAAGCGATGCTATTAAGACTATGGTGATGAAGATGGCAATTTGATGGTACCTTAATGTGATGACTGAAATGATCATAGAAACGATAAGAAACACGATTAAGACGAGTAAAATGACTACAAAAATGAACATTAAGTCCGACTCATAACCTATGGAGAATATAAACGAAGATTGATTGATGATTAAAATGATGATTGAAATGGTGACAATTAAGACGACAACCACAATAATCACCTTGATATGTCCCTGACTGTTTGCCGCCAAGATGACGTTCGATCCCTGTGTAATGAAATTAAATTGAAAAAAAAATGTTTCAATTCATCGTCGTCGTCATCATCAGCTACTCCATCACAAACATCATCTAATTTTAATCGCCAACTTCATCATCTCATTTCAATCACCAACTTCATCATCATCATTTCGTCTTAATCACCAACTTCATCATCATCATCTCATTTCAATCACCATCTTCATCATCACATCACACCAGTAACTTGGTAGTCATATTTGCTGATGTCAACCATACCACGATTTCAAACTGACTATCAAAATTAATCAACGCGACATACAAAAACAGCTAAAACATTAACGATAACAGCAACAACAACAATCACAACAGCAACAACAACAATCACAACAACAACAACGAAAGCAACAACAACAATCGCAACAACAACAACAAAAACAACAACAACAATCACAACAACAACAGTAACAACAACAACATCAATCACAAGAGCAACAACAACAACGATCACAACAACAACATCAATCCCAACAGCTGTAGAAATCAACTAACAGTCTTCCAGCAGACCGCACTGACGAACTCCGTACTCTCATCTTCTATTTTGTCACCCATCTGTGATGTTTTTTTCACCCATCATCATTATTATCACCGTAATCATTGTAGTAATCACCATTAACAATCACCACGATCGTAGGTATAATCATCATCCGAATCATCATGCCGGTCGTTCTTATCATAAACTCACTAGGACAGTCCTAAGAGGGTCGAACTTGTATGAGAGCATAGCTTTCGAGATGTCTTTGTAGTAGATGTATACAGAGTTGTTCTCACTGCCTGTGTGTGTGTGCGTGTGTGTATGTATGTGTAAATGTATGTATGTGTGTGTGTCTGTGTGTGTTTGGGTGCGTGTGTGTTTGTGTTACTGTGTGTGCGAGTGCGTGAGTGTGTTGGCTTAATACGCCCGTTGCTATCACCCATAAAAAACAACCACTACACATAGACGAACAAACAGGCAGACACACCGATAAAAAGACAGAGACACGCAGACACACACAGGCAGACAAACACACAGGCAGATACACAGACAGATACACAGACAGACAGATACACAGACAGACAGGGCACCAACCACAAGCTACATAATCTCCGTCAGTGGCCAATCCGACGAAGTTCCTTTCGTTGATGTGACCAAGATAGGTACGAGTGCAGCATTTCTTCGTCAGGTCCCACAACTTCAGCTGGCTATCGGTCGAACTGGTGGCAGTTGCGGCGATTGTAGTGTAGTTGTAGTTGTAGATGTGATAGTAGTGGTAGTAGTGGTAGTTGTAGTAGTGGCGATTGTGGTTTAGTGGTAGTTATAGATGCGGTAGTTGTATATGTGGCGATTGTGAATGTGGTAGTGGCGATTGTGGTGTCATTATCAATCACATCAACATCATCACATCAACATCATCACATCAACATCATCACATCAACATCATCACATCACCATCATCACATCACCATCATCATATCGCCATCATCACATCACCATCATCTTGCTTACTTACGCGGAGACGATCTCGTTGGAGTTGATGAACTTGGCGTAAGACACTGCCTTCTTGTGTCCTTTCAACGTGAGAAGAGCTTCCTTCATCTGGCGGAGGTCGTAGTAGTGGATGCGGTGGTCTGTGGTGGCGTGGTAGAAGTGGTAGTGTGGCTGATGTGGCAATGCCGATGTGATGGA